GAAACATACTTGATTGATTGAGTTCTCTTACAGAATCTGTCAAATTATATATACTGTCAATTATGTTCGTGTTTCTATGAGATTATTTTAATTCATAATTGTTCTTCTTATTTTATATTACTTATGAATTATATTTAAATTTTTATCACATTTTCTATGGGATTGTGATATCTATGAGATTTTTATCACATTTTTAATGTCAATGTCTCATGTATATTTTTCTTACATTTGTTTTTTTAATAGTTAACTTTTATTAAAACATACTAATGATGTTAATTTTTTTTTTACTTTAGTTAACTTTTATTTTTTTTATTCTTATATACTTTTTGTGACTTTTTTATTTTTTTTTCAGTTTAATATTGAATTTAGTTCACATACTTTATGTGTATATGTTTTAAAACATAATTTTTCTTTTAAAAAATTAAGCGACAAAGAGCCTAATTAAACTGATCCAAAAACAACCCGAACTGAATATAAATTGAACTGGGCATAAACAACACCGAACCAGACTAAATAAGGTTTATTTCAGTTGAAAAAATATATTAAAACCGAACTAAACAAACCAAACCAAACCAAAAAAATAACGATTTGCCCACCCCTACTACATCCTAGAGATTTTGGCAAATCTTGTCTCAGCATTGAAACTCTCAATTGTTCCACTAACTCCCACATTTGAACTCAATAGATACTCCTGTCTCAGCATTATACTATATTTTTATACCCGCACAGGGTGCGGACCGGTCACCTAGTATACTATTATTTGCGAAGTGATTTTTCGCAACGGAACTCTCACGTTAAAAGTTAGAGTTGTTAATATCGTTTATACCCTTAATTAATAATTAAAAAATTTAATATATAATTAAACATAAATAAAAAACGAAATTCAATTGATTTTAGATTTATCTTTATCTAAAACTATTTTATATTGGGTTATAAAATCTTTATTAACCTTGAAAAATAGTTATATTTGTTAATATATAATTAATTATAAATTAAAAACGAATTTCATTTTTTGATAATTATCCTTATTTAAAAAATTATATTATGTTTATCAACCTTGAAAAATAATTATATTTGTTAATATATAATTAATTCTAAATTAAAAACGAATTTCATGAATTTGATAATTATATTTATCTAACTTTTTATATTATGTTATAAAGTCTTTATTAACCTTGAAAAATAATTATATTTGTTAATATGTATTTAATTATGAAAAAATCAATTTGCAAAGAATATATGTATAGATAATTTATATTGTGTTATCCAAAACATTACTAAAGTTAATTTTATTATACTTCTTTTTGTTATGTCTAGAAAACATATTAATTTATTACTAAATATTTTAAATTTATGAGAATTTCACATTTAATTTGTGCAATGATAATTATTTATATGATAATGAAAAATTTTATATATAGAAAGAATCTGTTTAGATTATTATTAATTGCTTTGAGTGTATGCACAATAATTTATTATAATTTACTTAAATTGATAATATATTTGTTTATAGATATTAGTAAAATTATTAAGCCCACAAGTGCGGGCAAAACACCTAGTTCATTTTTTAGTACTTTACAATTTGATTTGTTTCCACATTATTTGGATATTTGATCTCCGGATATCCGATCAAATATATATATAACCGAATATTTGATTTGATTCATAAAAATAAATATTTTTAAAACTAAAATTTAGTGTACAAATGATACTTCAGTATAATATAAAAAATCACCCTTCTTAAACTGTATTAAACAAATCACTGAATCAATTATGAAAATTAGTATATTAGTTCTAAAACAGACTAATAATTAATTATAACATCCTCATACAAATAAAAGATCCTCTATTTTAGGAGGGTCCAAAGCCATCAAAGTTCCTTCTTTGGCTCTTGATGTCAGTATTTTCACAAACGGTTCGAAAAAATGAAGTATGTGGTTTTGTTGTAATAATGATGGACGTCAAAAATAAGTAGGAAGAACCAGTAAACCAAAATTTATAAGAGAAAAAAAGGAAAACTAAATCACATGATTGATTTTGGAAGGAAAGAAAACTAGAAAAAGACGAAGCTAGCTGGAAAAATGAAACCATTGAGATTTTAACCTAAAAATGATCCCTCATGAATTTTCCTAAGATAAATTTCACCTTGACTAAGGAAATGGTAGGATTTACAACGACTGTGAATTTCATCTTGTTAATTTAGGTCCACTAAATTATAATTCAAAAATTTATGAACAAAAAAGTCATATCCAGAGTTAGGATACACAAACAAAGTTTAGCCACTAGTTTATTCGTAGTGAATGATATTTTCATACTAGATGTCAATTTTGAAGTGAATCGATGACTTGTTTAAAATAACAATAAAAGCTTAGATTCTTAACAGTAAAAGAACAATAAGAAGCAGTCATCCTTCTTAATTATTATGGATGTAATGAATCAATGACTCTGTTACTATTTGATCAACAGTTGGTTAAGAATATTACATGGATTATTGATTCTTCAGAGGAATGTTACCACATGTAACGCTCATGGCACATGTGATTCTAATGCTGGAGAGACTATATATTACTGAACATGATATATCCGGTTCAGCTTTAGCTAAAGTTGAGATTGTAATTACATTGGTCAAGAGCATTATAGATAATCCGGAAAGGAAGCTCCATTCTTCTTGGTCAGGAGAAGAAGAGCATCTGTAAGCCTGCAAAACACTAACTCCAATATATTTTTTTTAGTGAAACATAAGAGTACTTAATAGTAATCAGTGCCACACACGAAGATGGATTGGATTAATACTCATTGACCACTTTTGGTGTTTTTGGGAAACACACGTTCAGCAAATAAATAAAAATAGTATCCTGACGGTAATTCTGGTGGGATGGAAGTTTTTTTTAACCAAATTAGACAACTATAGAACATGGATGATTGTTGTGGTATGGTATCCAAGGTTGTATGTTTTTGTATATGATGTTTTTGCGCAGTTTATCACTTGACGTATCTTTGTTCTGTGAATAAGATAAACATGACAATCACATTTGTCTATGGTTTCAATGAAGGAGAAGCACATATGAAATTATGGGATCGATTGAGCATACTTAATGGATCTACTCCAGTTGTTTTTCATCCTTGGGAAGTCCTCAATGACTTTAACCATATTCTCAGAGTTGCTCAACACTCTAATGCATATACTCATAATGTTGATTGTACTTGAATTGATGATTTCACACTTCTCCAAGATGTTGAAACGATTAAAGAAGTTAGAGAGTAAGAAATCAGAGCTACTGTGTTAGCAATGCCATTAAGAAAAAGCCTGAGACCTGATGATTTCAGTAACGTTTCTTCGTGCATATTAGGAGACCGTCAGGCTTGATGTTGTAGCTATTGTCAAGGATTTTTCAAAATGGACATTTATTCAAAGATCTCCATACAACTGCCATCAAGCTTTTTTCGAAGAAATCATAATCTTATATGCTTGGTTAATACCTACTATTAAGTTGTTGTAACATCATATACAAATTGATTAAAGATAATGGCAAACAGATTGAAGTCTATCATTTTGGAATGAATCAGCTCTGGCTAAACTAGATTCTTGAAGGGACGTAAGAGTTTTTTATTGTCCAGAAAGATTGTAAAACAACATGGAAAATATATTTATAAAAGAAGTGGTATGTTAAAGGTGGGTAGAGGAAGGCATTTGACACTGTATCTTGGAATTTTGTAATCAAATTTCTACAAGACCAAGATTTCCCAGCCATATTTATAACATGGATCAGAGAATGCATTTTGTTGCCAATATTTTATATTTCAATCAATAGTTAATTGACAAAAAAATTTCTTTGGAAAATGGGTTTGGCAAGGGGATTCATCTCTCTATACTTGTTTATCATGGTTATGGAGGCTCTCGCGAAGTTGTTGGAAAATCTATGGAATATGGACAATTTAGTCTGCACTCACACTGTTTTCAACCAAGGACTATTCACTTTTTGTTCGATGATGAGTTACATGTTTTCTTCAATGGAAATGGAACTCCTTGATAGCAATGACAGAGGTTATGGAGAACTTTAAAGCGTTATATGGTCTCAGAATGAATCCGTGAACGTCTGACTTGTACTTTGAGGGATGCTTTGTTGCTCAAGCCTCTAATCTATCTAATTTATCTTTTCTTGATCATACGAGATTCCAAAAAAGGTACATAGGTTTACCCCTAAATCCGAAGCGCATATGCATGGCCATTTTCCAGCCGTTTCTTTATAGGAATTATCACAAAAATTGTCTCTCAATCGCGGGCAAGATAAGACTGGTTGCATCAGTTGTGTATGGTATGGTCAGTTTTGGAGCTCAATTTTCTTTCTTCTGAAAAAATTCTACTCAAAGTTTGATTTTTTATGTACTGCATTTCTTTGGAAGAATAAAATATGGGATACAAGAGGATCAAGATTTTCTTGGACTGATATGTGCCGGTCTAAAGAAGAGGGAGGGTTAGGCATTCGATCGGTTGCTAGAATATTTTAAGACTCTATTCCGGTTAAAGCATATTTGGAAGTTTTTCGGAAATACTAGGTCTACATAGTATTTGGCAGGAGAGAGTTTTGGATAACATATGACATGTCTCAATTCTCAAAACCAGTAAGAGATATGCTATAGCTCAATCATATGCTACTCAATCTCCTTAATTATGACATTTGTTGTGTATCTTCCTTCTGGTATGATTACTGGACTGATCTTGGCCCCTTAGTGATTATTGCTAGACCTGACAAGGAATTCAGAATTCCTATTGGCGTTACGATTGGTCAGACAGTTATCAATTGAAATTGAATTTTTCCTTATGTAAGATATGATAAGGCATAGCTTATTCAGTTTATGGTATCTGCTATTGTGCTTCCTATAGTGGATGTGGATACTGATACATACCCTGTCATAACTGTAACCCTCATTTCGTATTGTCTTTCTCTTTGAAAGTTAGTTGGGGTTATATATTCAATGTCGCTTCTCAGAGGTTTTATGGAGCCATACTGTTTGGTTCAAGGAATCAATTCCAAGATTCACTTTCATAATTTGGTTAGTTATGCTTCATAGGTTGCAGATTTATGATAGGCTAAGGCGATGGGGTGTTATCGACATATCGACTTGTACTCTCTGCGATGTTCAAGTGAACGAGTGTCATGACCACATATTCTTTGGTTATACTTATACCTACCTTGCGGAATTGTACGGTCTCTTTTTGACGACTTGTAATTTATTAATGTGTTCATCAATTCAAGCTCTAATCTCTATTGACTAGACTTTAGCTCAAACACCTATTGTTGTCAAGTTGTTGTTTCAGGTTATCATTTACACTATTAGGAAAGAAAGTAACTCTTGTATCTTCTCACGAATATCATCGACAATGATAGTGCTGCAAACTTCAATGGACTGAACAACCTGCGTTTGTTTTCTTTCGTTTTCAGTGTCAGGTGGACGTGACCCTTCCTTGTTAGTAGTTCATTTTCGTCTTCTATCTTCTCAAATTCTTTTGTAATTTACACTTTCTATATTTTTTTTTCTTTTCAAATAAATTATTTGATAATAATAATGTAAAACCTAAAAAATAGTATAAATCTTCTTATTAAACAAAAAAGCTTAGATTCATAAAAATCTAATCTAATCAAATAGATGACAATAAATATATAACTAAATAGAATAAACAGAAATCCTAAACATGATTTTGAAATATAAAACAAGCTAAATGATAAAATAAACGGAGACATAATATTTTTAGCATATACTCAACGCAATATTTCATTATACTTGTCTTGTATTTTTATCTGAATTCTTGTAAAAATGGTTACAAAGTCATCGATACTAAAAGTCTTTTATTACCTATTTAATTTTGATATTCACTTATTTTCATTTACCTCTTAATAGTTTTTGGACATTATTTACGAGCCCTGTTCGTTTCTTAAACGCTGGGTTAATGATATGCGCCAAAAGAAAACAAGCTATAGAGACAAATAATAACATTGTTATACTATAACAATCGCCAACAACTGACACTAATGCTCTTTCACCCATTTTAATGGTCGACATAAAAAACAGTGATTTCATTAAGGTCTTCGGCAGCAATTGTTCCGTCTATGAAATGAGTCGCAATATCTTCAAGTGAGCTATTATTAATGAATTGATGATGTGTCCTTTGGTATTTTTGACCACACATCATTGTCGCAATGTCTAAGAAACGAATATGGCTAATTTATGACATTCAAAAAACTATAGATCCTAGTTTGAATCAAATTATTGACTATTTTCCCAAAAAGCTGTTCGACTTTTCTACTTCAGATAGGGCTGGACATTTTTTCCGATACCCCGAATCTGAACCCGAATCAGAACCGGAAAATCTGAACTAAAATCCAAACCGAAGTACCAAAATATCTGAATGGTATTGAGTTAAGAGAGATTGGATATTCGAACCCGAACCCAAATGAATATCCAAAGATAACCGAACATATGTATATTTAACCTTATATTTTAGTTTACTTCACTCATTTTATCCAAAATATTTACATTAATGTTGTACATGGTTCAAAATCATATAATATTCATATATTTGTGAACAAATTGATTATTTGTTCATTTAAAATACATGATTTTGTTCATATAAAATACATGTCAAACTTTTTTGTTTCATGTATTAACAAAAGTTGTGTTCAGATTTTCACAACATCAACTAAATTAGTGTTTTTCAATTTTCAAAATTTTGTTTGCAAACCAATTAATAATAATTTAACATATTAAAATTTTTAAAACCAGTTAACTTAACAAATTTAGGCCCCGTTCGAACATTTTATATATTGAGTCGGGTTCAGATATTTTTAGTTCAGTTTGGTTATTTTGGTTCGAATTTTAGATATTATATATTTTTTAAATAGAAGAAACTTGAATAAGGAAGAATTTGATTTTTTTTCATAATCTATAAATATCTGAATCCAAACCTAAATAACCAAACCGAAGTAAAAATATCTGAATCCGATCCAATATGTAAAATATCCAAACGGGGTCTAGATTTATATACCAAAATACCCAAAAATCTGAAATACCCGATTTGAACCCAAATGCCAACTCCTGGTTCAAATGATCTTGATCTTTACATATTTTGATAATTGTAAATTATGCTCCAACACTTACAAAGACAACAAACAAGAATTTTTTTTTTTTTTAAAGTGCACGACCATGGAACAGACAAGTCCGTTGATATTCAGGCAAACATATTAAAAAACCACCCATTTTCTTTAGGTATTTAGTAAAGATCCATTTATAAGTTTTGAATATTTGTAAGATGGCCTCAGATTATTTGCTTTATAGAGAAAAGAACCCCACAAGGTAACATATTTACAAAAAAAAGTAAAATAGATTCATCAGATTCAGCCTCGGAGGACCCTAAAAAACGATAAAGATCTAATTGGCGCCCCTTTACTATTTCCATCTACCTTCTTCGAACGAAAAGTAGAACTTGGATCCCTACGCACTCATCTCCGAGATCTGCACAATCTTCGATTCAAATGGCGACGAGAAGACGTACTTTGCTCAAGGTCATTGTCCTCGGCGACAGCGGGTAATAATATAAATGCTGATTCTTTAATTTCTTTTATTTTATTTGGTTTTGCGATGGTTTGATGTTTGATGTTTGATGTTTGATCTGTGATTGTCGCTTTACAGGGTTGGCAAGACTTCCTTGATGAATCAGTATCCTTCCTTTTAACCTTTTTTTTTTAATTTTGTGAAACAATTGTTTGAGGATATTATTTTGGGGGCCTTGACGGAGGGTGATTTTAAGATATGTGCATAAGAAGTTTAGTCTACAGTACAAAGCGACTATTGGTGCTGATTTCGTCACCAAGGAAATTCAGATTGGGGATAAACTTGTTACTCTACAGGTTGGCTTTCTCTTTGTTTAGGAGATTATTTTCTTAATGTTCTATTTTTTTAATGTATATGTAATGTTTTGTTTTGTCAGATTTGGGATACTGCTGGACAAGAGAGGTTCCAGAGTCTTGGTGCTGCGTTTTACAGAGGTGCAGATTGTTGTGCGTTGGTTTATGATGTTAACGTGGCCAAGTCCTTTGATTCCCTCGAAACTTGGCATGAGGAGTTTCTTAAACAGGTTCTTACATAAATTCTGTCACGTTTTACCTCCGCATGCTTCTTTATTATATTTGGCTCTTGTGTTCATCGTTTGTTAGCTTTGACTATCTAGAGTCTCAATCTTAAGACTTGTATTAACTTTTCGCTTCTACAAATCAAGAGTCAAATCCTCTTCTGATGATGTGATAAGGAGCTCTTTTGGTTAGAAAGATAGCTCTTTTGTTCCTTATGAGTTATGACCATATCTGAATTTTCCGTTTTTATATGATTGAGCAATATAACATGTTCCTTTTGTTCAACCGTCCATTTTCTTTTACCTAGTCCTCGGTTTACTTGTTACTAACTTTCTTTTGGCGTGTTCATAGCAGTTTTAGAATTTACTAATCTATAACCCTTGTGCCTTGTTTACTTTTTCTTTTCGTGCACTCACACTTTATTGCCTTTTAACTGTTTATAATATGCTAACATGTTTCCGTGGCATCTTCTTGTCCTGCACAGGCAAGTCCATCGGATCCAAAGACATTTCCGTTTATAGTGCTTGGAAACAAGGTTGACATTGGTGGAGGGAGCACTAGAGTGGTAAGCAGAAGATCAATGCAAACCTTTTCCACTGTGCTTAATGACTCTCATACTCTGTCTGGTTTCATCATCTATATAACTTACAGGTCTCTGAGACGAAAGCAGCTGACTGGTGTGCTTCAAATGGTAACATACCCTATTTCGAGACATCAGCTAAAGAAGACATCAATGTTGATGATGCGTTCTTTACCATTGCTAAAACCGCTCTTGCCAACGAGAATGATCAGGACATGTATGTTTTTCTCTTTGCTTTTGCTCTAATATATTAACTCTTTGAGCTGTCTATTTTTCGTGTTATCTCAATTGAAATCTGTCCCTCATAGTATTTCTTTTGTTTTGGGGTTATTGCAGATACTTCCAAGGCATACCAGTTGCAGTGACTGAAAACGAGCCAAAGGGGGGTGGTTGCGCTTGCTGAACTGTGGATTTCAAGATTCGTTTACATTTGTTTTTGATACATTTGCTCGTGTTATTCATTGAAGGTTGGTGTACTCTTGAGAATTGCAGAACGATAAAGCTTGAAGAAGCCATCTTTTCAGCCATTCCATCATGTATTAATTGATTGGAGGAGTCTGTATGATTAATCGATTCTGCTGGATATATTTTTATTTTCGGAAGAAGAACCGCTTACTCTTATATTATATTTGGTTCCACTCGTCTATATTTATATGTTCATTTTGCATGAATAGTTTATTTCTTTGGAAGCTTTGGATAACTTCTATGGCTTTGAAACATAATGGTTTCGTCGGCATTAGCATGGGCTTTACACTCAGCTCTAAGTGGAATTAGAAGGAGGATTTCCCAAAGAGTTTATGGGACTCATGTTCCTCGCCAATGCAAGACATTGCCTTGCAAAACAAGGCCCAATACAACTAATTAAATCAAATTGTATATATACCTTCCTGATTTTTAATCTCTTATCTGAATGTCGACTATGTTGCTTCTCGTTTTAAATAAGTTGGTATTATGTCAGTTACAACTTGTAATGTTGTAAATATTTGCTATACCTATACCATGTTAGTTTGGTAATAGACGATTTGGTTGTCTCTTGCCATTAGCCGAAAGCATTCTAAATTTAGGTTAAATAAGTTTTAGTCAGTCCATTTTGTAATATACTAAGACCTTGTGCATTAATGAATCTGGGCTGGGGTTTATAAAAATATTTTTTTTGTTATTATTTTTTCTGTTTGATTTAAAAAAAAAAAATTAGCGAACCAGGCGTTGGTCGCAACGGGACCCATGTAATAGTGATGACATCGGTTCACGTTAAAGACTTCATGTGATATGAGTTCACAATTTTTCTAATATTTTAATTTTTATTTTTGGAAAGTGTGTAATCACCCCCCCTCCCCTTAAAGTTTATTAATGTACTTGCTCTAAGGATTTGATTCGAATGAATCGTAGATCTCTGTTTTTTTGTTGTCGAATTTAACTTGTGATTTTTTTGACTAAAATTGTACAACACTTTTATTTTGATGTGGAAGTAAAGCTCTTTATAAACATTTATTTTATTATAGAATTATATTTACTGTAGATATTTTTAAAAAAATAAATTTATTAATTGATCGACATATATGGCTCTAGAATAAATTTGTTGTTGTGTAGAGACTCTAAGCTAATTAACTTCAAAGTGTTTTCTTCCTGTGAAGCCGACCAAATTCGAGTGTATAATCAATTCAGTTGACAAAAAAGAAAAGAAACAAAAAAGGGTATTATTACAGTGTTATAAAATATATATGGAGAACTTATACATTCCATCAGAGAATACACATATTTATAGGAAGGGGTGAGTCGGCAATTACTGTCTTCACCAACAAGTAATTATATTTTTGTGTCAAAGGATAAACATTATCTTTTAATTGGATAATCATTAGTATTATCTAACACTCCCCCTTGATTATCCAATTTGTATTACGTAATGTCTCGTTAAAACCTTAGACACGGAAAAACTCATTCGGCTAAAAACCATGAAAAAGGAAAAAGAGTACACTAACGTAATCTCTTCCTAAACATAATGAACATCACTTTTTATTAATAAGTCATGCAAATGCCGCATTCCGATACCGTAAACGTGTTTTCGGAATATTGTAGTCGGGAGGGCCTTTGTGAACAAATCAGCCAGATTGTCGCATGACCGTACATACTCGATGTCCACTTCTTTATTTTTCTCGAGCTACCGTATGTACGAGAAAAATCTTGGAGGCATGTGCTTTGTCCTGTCGCTCTTGATATAGCCTTCTTTAAGTTGAGCAACACACGCCGAATTGTCTTCGAACATTTTCGTCAGTTCTTTCCGATTAACTATTCCACTTGCTTCTTGTATGTGGTAACTCATTGATCTAAGCCACACATTCTCGACAGGCTTCGTGAAGTGCAATGGTTTCTACATAATTCGAAGATGTTGCAACCAGAGTTCGCTTCTGTGAACGCCAAGAGATCGCTGTCCCACCAATTGTAAAAACATAGCCGGTTTGTGAACGAGCCTTATGAGGATCTGATAAGTATCTTGCATCTGCAAAACCAACCATACCAAACTCGGGTTTTCTAAAGTACATTAAACCTAGGTCAATCGTACCTTGAAGGTAACAAAATATGTGTTTAATTCTGTTCCAATGTCTATGAGTAGGAGCCGAACTATATCTTGCAAGAAGATTAGTGGCAAAGGCAATATCAGGTCTGGTACAATTCGCTAGATGCAACAACCCACCGATAGCACTCATGTAAGGTACTTCTGGACCTAACATATTTTCGCTATCTTCACAGGGTCTAAAAATATCTCTCTCAACATCGAGAGTCCTACCAACCACTGGAGTACTCAAAGGAGTTGCTTTGTCCATACGAAAGGTTTCAATAACCTTTTCGTATAACTTGATTGATGCACAAATATACCTTCTCGGAGATGCTCAATCTGGAGCCCAAGACAAAACTTTGTCTTTTCGAGATCTTTCATTTCGAACTCTTCTTTCATATGAGTTCGTGCATCATCAACCTCCTTTTGAGTTCCAATAATGTTCAAGTCATCAACATATACAACAATGACCACAAAGCCAGATGACGATTTTTTTTATAAAAACGCATGGACATATCACATTACTTACATATCCTTTTCTTAAGAGATATTCACTTAAGCGATTGTACCACATGCGTCCGAACTGCTTTAATCCGTAAAGTGATCGTTGTAGCTTGACCGAACAAATCTCCCTGGATTTTTCTTTCAATCCTTCTGGCATTTTCAATCCTTCAGGGAGTCTCATGTATATATCATTATCCAGTGATCCATACAAGTATGCAGTCACAACGTCCATAAGATGCATTTCGAGATTCTTTGATGCCATAAGGCTCATCAAAAATCTAAACGTAATTGCATCCATTACCGGGGAATACGTTTCCTCAAAATCAATTCCCGGTCTCTAAGAAGAACCTTGGGCCACTAATCGGGTTTTATATCATGTTACTTCATTCTTTTCATTTACTTTTCTGACGAATACCCACTTATACCCAACATGATTTATACTCTCAGGCGTTATGACTATAGGTCCAAAGACATTCCTTTTATTTAGGGAGAGTTATTCAATTTCAATGGCCTTCTTCCACTCCTCCCAATCATGTCTTTTCATACAATCCAAAATGGACCTTGGATCAGGATCATCACTTTTGTGATCTATTTCTTTAGACACAGAAAAGGAGAACATTCCATCAACATCTTTTATTTTATTTCTGATACATAACTTTTCATCTTGGGCGTAGTTGATGGAAATCTCATACTTTTCTGTTCCCTCCTCGTCATCTGGATCCCTATCTTTATTTGGTTCTCCTTGAACCTTTTCATCTATGCCTTCTTTCAGACATCTTTCAGTATCAGGTTCTTCTAGAACCTTCCCTTTTTTCTCAACCAATTTCTTTTTCTTTCGGGGTTTTTTTATCTTTAGAACCCACAGGTTTCCCCCTCTTTAACTGAGCCCTAGGCTCATTCATTGTATCTCCATCAGTGTGTTCTTTAGGAACAACAACTCTTGATGGGATATTTTCAGAGGGTATATATGATTTCGTCACCCTTTTCGTATCTGTGAACGCATATGGTAACTGGTTTGCCAAATTATGCAAATGCACAATTTTCTGAACTTCCATCTCTCTTTGATTTGTAGGGGGGACCAAGGTGTAACAACGATGGTGTACACCAAGTAATCTCTTTAGGAATTTCTCTAATTCCTTCCCCTAACGCTGGAAATTCTTCTTCATTAAAATGGCAATAGGCAAATCGTGTCGTAAACATATCACCAGTTACTGGTTCCAGATATCTTATTATACTTGGTGACACATAACCTACATATACTCCCAATCTCCTCTGTGGGCCCATTTTTGTCCTTTGTGGTGGAGCTGTTGAACATAGACCGCACACCCAAAGACACGGAGATGGGATACATCTGGCTCATGCCCAGATGCCAATTGTAATGGGGAGTACTTATGATATGCACTCGGCCTTAACCGAATTAGTGCATCCGCATGCAAAATAGCATGACCCCATATTGAAATTGGGAGCTTTGTCCTCAAGATCAACGGCCTTGCAATCAACTGCAACCGTTTTACTAATGACTCGGCCATGCCCATTATAATCTTTGCATTACCAGATATTGTACTTACGCTTCCAGCGTAATCTTTTATTTTGATACTGGAGAAATATTTCTTATCTTTGATTATCGTGTGCGTCGTAGCACTATCTGCTAAACACATATCTCCATCCGTGATTATCGTGTGGCTCGGGTTCATTGTGGGAACCGAAATTCACACTTGTCGATTTCCGTTAAATAAGGAAACTTAGGAAAACCCTAATTTTCCAGAGGAACTGGATCTCTGCGAAAGCCGACGACAAGTAACCAAATAAATGCGGAAAAATATGAAAAACATAGTAAAACGAATTTATAAAGAAAGTCGATCTTATTTCCGATTCGCGTAAGAGCGTTGCGATCATTACAGGGAATTACAAAGGCTTTGGCCGCAGGGGCCATCAGCGAGTTACAAACATAAAACCCTAGATCTAGTCGAGTCGCAGCTCGATGACGAANTCCATTTTGCTCGAAACCGAATATTTCGGGAACTTTCCATATCTGTCGATCCTTCCTTTTCTTCTGCGGAAATCTTCTATTTATCTTCAAACTTGCCTTTTATCTTCCGTCTGCGAGTAAACCGTCAAAGCGTTATCGTATCTTGGGGTTTGATTTCGTTAACGTCGCGAGATGGGTTTTTATCGTGTTTTACGACCTTCCGGGCCGTTTTACGATAAAAACCGTTTTACGACTTTAACGAGACTGTTTCCTGATCCGATGCCGTTTTTTTACGATTCTCTCGACGTTTTTTATTTAGAACGAGTTTTTATGATTTTAACGAGAAATCTCGAATAAATCGTATAGTTTAGACAATGTTCGGTGTTTCGTTTAACCGTTGCCGTTTTATACGATTTCCTCGAGTTCTTTCCGAGAAAGCGAAGTTTTACGGTTTTTATCGTAAAACTTGAATGATAGGTCGGATCGAGAAGGAACGGGAGACGTTTCGGCCGTGGTTCATAATGCGACCGTGTCGAAAGACGTAAGTTTTGAATCGGGGATGCGGGAGATCGAGGCTCGGGATGGGCGGCTCGACGTACGGCGAGCTAGT